TGGCGACTCGTTGCCGTCGATGTCTCCCTCCGAGTCCCGTCAGAAATTTTCCTTGTGGCGTCATCTCATCTGCGCAGACTGCAGACTCCGAGACACCCCTCGGTGAAAGACGCCGCGACCGGGCGAAGGTTAACTGCCCAGTGCAGTTATTGTTTTGATTAGGTTTTTTTTTTTTTTGCTTGGTATCGATCGCACGACGGCGTTATTTGCATTATACAGCAAGGCCGTTCCTCGCTAGTCAGTTAACCGTTTTCACACTTATGGCGGTTTCATTAAAGCCCCTGGTTGTGTTATGTGGTTTGATCATTCGGAAAAGGATCGTTGACATTTCAACAACAACAACAACAACAACAACAACAACAACAACGACAATAATAATAATAATAATAATAATAATAATAATAATAATAATAATAATTATAAATGTATTCCCACAGTTAAGAAAACGGGCACATCAAAGACAATAAGAGCCTTTTGTGATGCCACCCTACAATGGAAAAATCAAGCATAGCTATAGCGACTGTAAACGACAAAATAAATAATAATAATAATAATAATAGCGATACTAATAATATTAACATATTTTCATTATTATTATTATTTGGCTGAAGAACCGCGGCACCACAGAAAGGCAACAGCGCTTATACCATAAAGGCCCGCTGTGCCGCGTCTAAGTGTGATGATGATTATGTGATGATATAATATGCAGTTGATGAGCACGGGGTGTTCTTCAGATAGTCGCGAAAACTAGGTGCCCGAGTTTCTGAAGTTTGACGGTTCAGGTGAGTCAGTCAGCCATCGAGCCGAGGTGACCTTGCGGGGTCTGGTGGTGCGGTCGCTCACGTCGGTGAAGTCAGAGGGCTCCAGGAGGTAGCCCAGTCCAAGTAGACGTCTCCCAACCCGGAGGCATTCATGCCCAGGGCTTGAAACGCAGCGGCGCAGTCCCCCCGTATAGCTTCCTGTCATCGGGAAGGGGGGGGGGTGGGGGGGGGGGGGGGGATCGGTGGCTGAGTGAGCTAGCGCACACCCACACCTGCCTGTTTCGATCTGGATGGCTATCGTATACCGCCGTGCGGTCATGTATCACTACTGCGTGATGCACGTTAAAGGTGCACAGGCTAGCGATTGTATTGCACTGCCTAAATTTCTCATCTACAGCTAGGAGACAATTAAGTCGCCCGTTGAGGCAGACTAAGGTCTAGGCTGTATAAACATACACACATCCCAATTTTTTGTTTTTCTTCCTGCCATCGGAGAAACGATCACTGTGATCTACGTAAAGGATGTGGCTAATCACGATATTGAGGCTACGTTTTAGTACAAATACGCCACCGCCGTTGGGACACTTCATGCTCACACTATACTTGGGCGGATCGCACATTTGTTTCAAGGCGTCATAAGTTCGTCTTTCACTGAGTACTTTAACTTCGTCATTTGATAGACTTCTTGCGTAGATTTCTATAAAGGGCTCTCTGCGCGTACCGTGTAAAGGGAACGCAGGATCTTTTTTTTTTTTATGTAGTTAAATGACGCAAGTTTAGTTTCGGCGTCGATCTGCTGAAAAGGCGTCGCTATTGTCTTGACTGAGCGCTAAGCTATGTTAAACCTTGCTCTTCGGAGAAAGCAGGAGCGTAGGCTGCAGCATGCATGTCGCGTTTTCTTTGCCAATCCCATTCGAGGCGTCTGATTCAAATGCACCAGCATAACAACTCAGACAATAGACACCCTGTGATAAACTGAAGAAATTTCAGAAGATTCGAACGATGTTAACTAAGACACCGTCTGTTACGTCGTAATATACCCTTTTCAAGAGTAGTCTAATAGCCGCCGCGCGCCTATCATCCGAGTTCACCACTGACTGACCACAAATACTTTGAGCATACATCGGACACAGGGAGATGTGTCAGCATTCGGCGAGCACCCGGAGCCAGTCGCGTACGGTTCGTTCCCGTGAAATAGCGAGTGGCAATGTTGCTCGAAGAGGCTTTGAAAACGGTCTATCGGTTCCTAATTGTTCTTACCAAAGGCTCTAGTTACGTAATCGGCTCTTCACTGCCAATGAGATGATCGGGGCTAACTACACCCTATACTGTGACCTTTTGCTACGTGCTCAAGTCGCACGATTACATTTTATTCCATTCGCTTCGATATGTCTTTACACGAATCGGAACCAACGTGAGACTCGGGCTTTTTTTTTTTAGTTTTGTATTCATAATAGACAAAAGAATAGAAAAAAAAAATGATAGCACCCAAGATTTCCCAGCTGGCGTTATAACATTTTAGTTCCGCACACACTTTGGACAATCGCGGTGCGTTCTACCCTCGAGCCCCGAGGAATCTCTTGATGGAACTGCTGTCACGCGTAGAGCGGGGTTCTATATGACGTGAACGGCCCCGTTGGCATCATAATGTCACAATGAACTGTCGCTGCGCATCACACGACGAGTAATCGAGGCGAGGCTCGTTTGTTCCTTTGTCCTTTATCTATCGAGGGCTTTTTCTCCGCCTGGCTTTGTCATTCGTGTATCTCGGAGAACGCGTCGAGCCGTTCGTTGGGCACGCTGTGCGCGCGGCACCGGTAACGGATGACCTTCGCACTCCAGGAGTTTGCAACGGCGGAGCGAATATCTCGAACGGTACGCATATATGGCTCGCGGACTGACATTCTGTTTCATTGCGCGAAAGTAACTTGGTTCCTTCGTGGCGTAAGAATAATCGGCTCAGAGCGATGCTTTACGCCACAGTCACACTGCTTATACATCATACAAACTCGCTTCAGGCGGTAGGGAGTTTTAGGGAACCGTTTCTGCACATCCGATCTGGTACCATGGGCCCTCCGGTACGAACTGCGCTTCTGCGAGTCTTCTGCGGTAGCAGATGCGCAGTTCGTATCAAAGGGAACATCGTACCGTATTGGGTGTGCAGAAACGATTCCCTAAAACTCCCTACTGTCTACAGACTGTCCTTTGCGCAATGTGTTGGCAGTATGACCGGGGCCTTATCGTACAAGATACAGTCTGCAACGCACGAGTCACCGGAATATCGGGACTTCGAATGCGGCGTGCCAAGTTCGAAGCACAAATCTCGCGGTGACTCGCTTTCGATTTTGTACGCACACTGTCCTTTGTATGATGTATCAGCGGCGGGACCTCGGCTTTAGGCTACTTCAAAGGCTGGTGCGGCGGCTCTAAATCTACGATCAGCTGCGTCATAACCTCTAATTGTTGGCACATATAATTTTAAAAAAAAATGTTTAACGTGTACGCGGAAACGTTGTGTATACTGCGATAGACCGGGGCGGGGGCTTCTATGATAAGGCTACACAATAAAAAGTTATTTCTCTCATATGTCATCGGCACCGGGACATTTGATCAAGTAAAACGTCACGGTTAGCCTCACAGTACAGTTTTCATTTCTGTTTCTAAAGATTGTGATAACAACTAAACTCAAAAATAGTTTTTTTTCTTTTTTGAAGTTTCATCCAGCGATTGGCTTTCCGCTCGCTGAGTGGAAGAGATGACGCAAGAGTATTTTCTAGAATGTTCAAAGGTCTATTTAGTCAATAACACAAAACAAGCAGAAAAACCCTCCAGGGGGAAAAAGATCGTGAACACGCGAATACGGATAACTCTTTTATTTTTTTTTTCTCGTCTTTTCTTGTTATGATGTATTTGTTTTACCTTTCGAGAAACTCCACCGACGCTGTCGCATTTTGGTCATGTTTAGCTTGTTTCATGAGGAAGAGATTTTATTATCACGTGCTTAAGTTCCTCGAATGCCAACTGGCGACCATTAAATTTGATAAATATCTATTTTTTAGAGAAGCAAAACATTTACTATGCTTCGTTTCACCTTCAGTCCAGACGCAGCCTAGGCTACGAGCTCATTGAACCAATCAGACAGCGTCAAAAGCGCACCGTCATGGTGTTCTTCGTGTTTCTGTGCGTATTCTATCATCGCTGGACCAACCATAAACAGAAAATTCATAGTGATTAGCGCTTTTCACGCAGTTTGATTGGTCCCATTACTTCGTAGTGGCGGCTGCGTCTGGACTTAAGCTGAAACAAGGTATAGACGAGACAGACGTGTTCTGTTCACACTGTGCAAGCTGTTAGCTTTCACTAACTGCCATTTCTTTGCACATGCGATTTTTTTTTTTTGCGATCACGTATATTAATATTTCGAAAAAAGAAGGTAAAGGCTTTAAACGTATTTATGAGACGAGCTTCAGAGCGGGGACCGCTCTTGATCAGGTCCTATATACATATATATATACCACAAAGTAGCACCGCGAAGAAAAGTAGAAATTCGAAACACGCTATGCTTGAAATCCGGAAATCTGGCGATCTCCTTCTAAAAAGCATTGTTTCGCATATAAGCAAAAACAGTATAATAATAAAAAAAAAAGAACACAAAACAAAAACGAAGCTATTTTCTGCCGCTCGGATAAAGCCATGTATATATTGTTTATACAGACGAAAAAAATAGTCTCCCTGAATAGGCGTCTGACGTCACAGCTGTAGATGAGACACCCGATTAAGTGAAATGCACGCAAATTTCCGATGATCTTTATTTAAGACGCTCTCACATTGTTCATACATCATACAGAAGACACGGAGTTTCTCCGCGGACATGCTGGCAGAATTCTCTCTGGACGCGCCTCAGGCATATCCGAATGAAGAGAGTTTGCTTCAGACATATATGTATGGTTCGTATGGAAGTGGGTTTGCTTCACACATACATGTGTGCTTCGAACATGTCCGCTGTCAGTTTTCGTTTGGCCAATGTGAATGGGACGTCATACGAGGAAGAAACACGCGACAGACTGTATGTAGAGTCCAGACTGTTTTTTGTACGATGTACTCGCGGTGTTACCGCTCCTTTAGGGTGTCGATTCAAGAGTCATATAGGGTATAGGCCAAAGCTCCGGCAGGGCAAATCCCGTTCCGCATAATCGAAGAGAAGTGTGTGACCCCAAGCGTTCCCCGTTCTCTGCGCAGCCCTAGACAAGCTGGGCCACCGGCGACCGCAGCAGCCGCACCAACACGTGCAGAGCGGCTGCGGCGGCGGCGGCAGCATGGTGGTCGGCACGGCGCCCGAGCTGGTGCAGGCGAGCAGTGCCTTCGACATGGCGTCGCTGGTGCTGTACGGCAGCCACGCCGTGCCGATCCGGCTCAAGATCCTCCTGGACCGGCTGCTCAGCGTCCTGCCGCACGACGAAGTCATCCACGTCCTGCACGGCTTCGGATGGACCTACGAGGACTACGTGCGCGGATACATTCTACAGGTACGTGCCCATTCCGTCAAGGACTCTCTCTTCCTCTCGAGTCGTCGAGTTCAGGCTGTATGCCTCCTTCACGCTATGAATTTTTTTTTTTTTTTTTCGAGTATCCGTTGGAACAGATTGGCATCGTTTCGTGTCGCCTTTCATAGCTTGTAATCCTTCATATTACCGATGCTCAAAAAAAAAAAAAAAAGAATCGTCGATAAAGAAGAAATACACTCAAAGGTTAGGTGCTCACAATGTCGCTCGTGCGGGACTGTGACGTCTGAAGATGGTTACAGAGGAAAGCGAGGCTCAGCGGAGAGGGTGTCTGTATATGCGAAAGGGTTCCACCGTATGTATGCGCGGGGGTGCGTTCTTAATCCCAACCATGCGCGTTGGTTAGGGCGGTGCGCGTTCAGGCTATAGCGGAGGGCATCTGCGCCAGACGACGAAGAAACGCGGAGCCGGAACTAGTGCTTTTTACCGATTGGCCGGGAGAGGTGCGCCCTTCTACGTCACAGAGCGTTTTCGTGCACCTTCAGAAAAAGTTGAAATCATCCAACTTTCTTGTGCTCACCCGGAAGACGCAACGAATCAGTGTGACGTCGCGAAATACGCAATTTCTGCAGGAAGCGCACGGCCTACGCGCGCACAAAAGCGCATTGGTTTGGATCGCGCTTTAGGAAGGCGTTAGCAGATGACGTCGCTCGAATAATGTTAGAGCTGGAAAATGTATGTGCCCTTATCTTCCGCAAGTTTCCATCCATTAATCGCAATGATTCGTGCTCTCAGTATTTTCACGCGCATTTTGAACTCTTATTTAGTAGCGCGTTCAATAATACCACATGAAATTCAAACGACTTCCTTTGCTAGTTGTGTTAAAACCAATAAGAGTTTCCTGGATTGTTTTTTCAGACATTTTAGCGAAAGTGTCCTTACCCAAGTACGCGCGCGCTCTGGTTCTGATAATACGACATTTTCACGGCACCGAGCCTTTCTGAGTAAGCTCACAGAGAGATTATATGGGATATTTCTTATAGTGGGTGTGCTCAAATATCACAAGTTTACTGACGTATTAGTAAAACTTGTTCCATGATCTTTAAACAGCCTGAAGTCTCATCTAAAAAGGTGCCTGATATCTCCACCGTAAAAGAAAATTCGGCGAGTTTAACACGGCTGCATCCCAGCCTAAAGATTTTTGTTTTGTTTCCTAATCTGCAGCACGAAATTGCATTAATGCACGGCGGCACAAATCCCGTTCATATAAATTCCGGCAATGGTGGGGTTCGAATTCATGTTTTTTAAACCTCCGCTCGATCTTTCGCACCAGGCGCTGCGTTATGGGATAGGCGACGCAATAGGGACTTGTAGTAGATCGTTTTACTCCTCCGCTACGGTATCCGTAGAGAAAACGCCGCAGCTGCGCGTGCGCGCTGCCAGCCTTGTCTGCATAGTTCAAGGTCTCCTGGCGGATTACGGAGCGCTATGCCGGTGCTCAGCGGGCTGCGGAAACGGTCTACTAAAGCTCCCCAATAACTCAATGTTTACCTCAAACGTTCGAGGGTCGAAGCGCACCGCAACCGAAGCGGCCGTCGGAGCGTGGTAAGCGAATAAGGACGAGGAGAGACTATTTGAGGCTTACGTTAATTTCTTCCCTCCTGCCTTCAAACATTCTCTTAGTTAATACCGACTCGGAACGGGAGCCACGCTTCGTTACCTTCAAGTTCATCGTGTGCTTTTCTCAAAATTAACTCCGGGAATTCAAAACTTAACAAAACATATTTGGAAAAAGAAAACAGCTCTCCTGATTGACATCACTGGTGCATTTTCTCAGGACTTCTTTTGTATAGAGTTCCTTTAAGTTGTAAACTGATGGGTTGTGTGTAAACAATTATATATCAAAGTATTGGCTGAGGCAGTGTTATCGTTCTGGAAAATGTTGGGAATATTTACCCACGCCTTTATGAAAAAGAAAAGCGAGATGTGTGAAGGCGTTAGGTTAATTGCCGCTACAGTCATATGGGTAACGGCCTGTATCTTAGGATTTATCGTTTCTTTCCTTTATTAAATGCTATGCGAATGTAGGCATATACATGTCGTATCGACTGGTTTCAATTATTTATAGTTTAATTTATTTTCAAAAATATAATTTGTATACTTTTTTTTTAATGTCGTCAACAAATGAACTTAGCTATAGTGAGAACTCGCTTTATTAAAACAGTCCGTTTTATATATTTCTTATTATTTTTATTGTTCCCAATAATGTTAACTTTCTGCGAGCCTAATCAAACTCCCCCTTTTTTGTTGTATTTTCCGTAGTAGTGTTCAAACACGGCTGCACGCACTTGGATAGGCAAAAAGGTAGTTTCGAACGTTGTCTTTACTGGAAGCCTTTTTAGCCTTTTAATGATGAGGGCAGAGGGGTTGGAAACGCTTGGGAGATGAAGAGGCGACGGAAAATTGTGATGGAGAGGGGGAGTAGAGTCTGTGTGTACTTGCCCCCTAGGTAAGATTGTCTGCCCCTATACTACTCCGCTGTTCCAGCGCTACAGGCTACGAATGTTTCATTCAGATGAACGCGCCTTAGAAAAAGGAGGACAGTGAAGACAAGACAGCGCAGAGTGCTGCTTAGAGCTGAAAGTTTTATAAACACACAATTATTTATAAGCACAATCTCCCTCCTCGGTTAAGAAGGCGAATTCCTTATCGGTAATGTGTCCCGCACCTTTCCTCTCCTGCGAGACTTATATTGAACCCCTCGAATAGCTCTCTCTCTCTGTTTTGTTTTAAGCTTCCCAAAAAGTTTTGAGAGATTTGGTGCGCACGGGCATCGGTTACGGTGAACAGCGAGATTGCCCGGGGGGGCATTTCTGATCAATAAAGCGCATTCGCTTCATACCCGTTTTTCTGAGGCGCTTTGTTCTGAATGGACAGCAATCGACTAGCCCCGTTAGCCATTTTGTTATTCAAGTTCTTTTTTTCTTTTCTTTTTTTCGGGGTGGGGGGGGGGGGGGGGGTGGGGGGGGGGTAGTTAGGACATTTGAGCCGGGCTACGTATTTTTGTTTATATCAGTTAGTATATATACTCTTTATCTCTCCTCGTCTGTATTTCTCTGCTGTTTGAAACCATGAGACAAAATCTGCAACCGGTAGTCTGTGTTGTTGCAGCTATGCATTCCATTCCTCTGCTCGAGCTTTTTACGTTCGAAGTTGATTGTGCCCAGTTTTATCAGTGGCAGCCATTCGCAGATTTGATCAAAACGACTTACAATTGTCAGCTTAAAAAAAGAAAATATATATATTGAAACTTTTATTTATTAATTATTATTTTTTTTTAATTTTTTGTGAAAATGCATTTTGCGACTTGTATCTGCGGAGGTCAGGCTTGAGCCCTCACAGCGCTGCTGCGATGAGGTATAAAACGTGCTTTGGTCAGAATCGCCTCCCACGCCTTGATAAAAACTGTGTGCTGGGCCAGTAAGTTGAGCTCAAGTTTGTTCTCAAGTGTAGTTTCCAAGCATGACGTGCTTAGGGACGTTAAGGAAGGAGTCTCTGGCGGCGGACTAAACACGACTCCATGGAGATTCCCGTCGGCGTATATAACACAAAGTTCAGACAGTCAGTGGTGAAAAAAAAAAAATAATAGCCCTGCCACACGGCAAAGTTAATGTCATTTCCATGGAATTAGATTTTGTGATCGGCCAATCAGCTCGCCATGACTACGAGCCTCGCGCGCGCAGGGCATTTTGGAAGGAGGAGCGCGCGCTGACTCGGCGATCACACAATCACGTTCGATGGAAATTTAATTTACTTTGTTGTGTGGCAGGGGTATTAGACAAGCTAGAAACAGGAGAAGTAAGCTGAGATTTCCCAGCTTACTTCTCCTGCTTTGCGGATGGTGAGTTGTGACTCAGTGTCACAACTCACCATCCTTAGTCGTTGCTCAGTCGTGAGACATGCCGGCTTCAGATGCTCACTTCTGTCAGCGTTACGGTAATTCCTGATTAATTCATAAACCATCGAAATACCTGCTGTGAAAATGAACACAACTGGCTACTCATTGTAGTGCGTAAAACTTGTGACATTTCACCGTACGGGGAAGGTTAGCGTCTGGGTATTGAACATGGCCACTGAGTACTGCACAAGGTTAATATTCATTGTTCTATGCAAATTCCGAACACAAGCATGCTGTGAAAGTAAATAATGATTTCGTGCAGAAAGTCGCAATCAAAATATAACTGATAACGTCTATTTCGGAGTCCTGCTTGATGTTTCTGAAAGCCAAAACAGAGATTAAAACATTTTATTCATTCCGTCTAAAATTAATGCAAACCGACTAAAAGCAAACCGTATGTGCCTTACGTGTGCTCTACCGATTTCTGTATTTGTTACTGTACTCCCTCAAAGATGAAATCGCAAAGCAAGAACTGATCTCAATGAGCTTTTTACAACGCTAACTTCAGCAGCAACATGTTGAGGTATTTCATAATTAGAGAACAATTGTAATTTTTTTTTTCTTTTTAGACTCGGCCAAATTTCTGAACGTCAGTTATTGCTAAAACTGGACACTAGGAAGTTTTAGTGTTTAACCACTTCTACAGAAAATCCAAAGAAAAAAAAAAGGGGGGGGGGGGAGGTTTGATTATGCGCACAAAAAATTAACAATATTGAGAACAATATAAAGAATAAGAAATAAATAAAATATGACTTGATTTTAATAAAGCGGATTCAAATTATGGCTAAACGTTTCTTTAACGAAATTTAGACATTCATATAAATTACCTCGTGCAAATAAACTAAAATAGAAGGGTATCGGTCGATAGTGCATATATAGGCCTACACTTTTATGGTATTTAATGAGGAAAATGTATAATGATTCCAAGGATACAAGACTCCAAATATGTCACCAGAAGGCCAAAGGTGCGATGTTTGGCACTTTTTATTTCTGCTATAAAATATATGAAAGCAGTTTAGTTCAAAGAAAGAAATAGCTGCCATTAGTCACAGAATTACAGAAAAGT